TGACACTCTGGCATTGTGGAAGACAATCTGGACTAAAACCTTTCTTAACCAGCATGGAAAAAGTCTAAATAAGGACCTGGAATTCTGGACAATTTTTAAATTTTATAATAGAGGAATATGCATAAATACCATACAGTTAGGTTATTTCTTTCTTCCAGAAGACTCTCTTTAAAATATTATGGCTGGAGATTTGGCTTTTACAAATTGTGTGACTATAAATATGGTTGCACATATATTTCTGTGGTAAGATTATTTTAATTCTTTTGGGTGATGCCTAACACAGGAATATCTGGTTCAAATGGAACCTCTAATCCTAGTTTTTTTCAGGAATTTCTACACTGTTTTCCACAGTGGTTGCACCAATCCACACTCCCACCAACAGAGCAATGGATTCCTTTTCCCCACAACACTATGAGCATTTGCCTTGGTAACAGCATAAATACCCATCATCTGGGGACTGGATAAAGAATACGTGGTTTTGTTTGTTTGTTTGTCTTGTAAAATGGAGTACTACTCAGCCATAAAGAATGATAAATTGGAGACATTTATAATTAAACAGATATACATTTAGGCCATACTCTGAATGGAATTAAATAGGACACATGGGTAAATACCAAATAGTTTCTCTGGTGTGAGAAACTGAATGTGTAAATGAGCCCAAAAATGTCTAAGATATAAAGTAAAACAGTAAGAAAAGGTCCAACGGGAAGAGGAAGCAAGGCTGCGGGTGGGGGAGAAGGAAAAAATACAACTAGAAAAAGGAAAAAAAACTAAAACAAAGTTTTTTTTTTCTAAATAAGGAAGTAAGGAGGGGTAAAGGAGAGGTAAGGGCAATGGGAAACAAAGAAGAACCAAAATATATCATGTACAGGTACAAATTCCCAGTGATGAATGTGATCATAATATACACCTAAAATATACCAATAAATTTGATGAAAAAAACTATGATCTTGCAAATGAATTTGAAAGAGCTATGATTCTGATTTACTTAGTTTTCATTACATAAAACTGTGTCTGTAATGTAGTCAGCACTGTGTGCCTGAAAAATCAAGTTGCTTTAGATTTAGAGAAATTTCGCATGTAGATTCTGCTGCAAAACTTGGCTTAAAATAGTATAATTTTTCCAAAAATTACATTGCATTTATCAAAAAATGAAAAGAATAACAAATTACTTACTACAAATAAATGATAAAGGAGTATTTGGATGGATAAGCCAACACAGTTGAGTTCACCACTACTCATGCATAAATCAATATATCCCAGTCTACCTCATTAATTTGCATAAATAATGTCATTCAAAAATGAAAAAATGATAAACAAACATTTGATTCTTTAACCAGTTAAAGCTGAAAGAAAAGAAAAAGTACAGTGACAGTATTATAGAGAGTGTGGAAAAGACAGAAAGAGAAAAAAATAAGGAGGTAAATAAAAGTAGGAATTTAAAATGTGAAGAACTAGCAGTTTAACTACAGGAATGTTTACACTGAAAGGTTTATAAAACCTTGATGTGACTCTGGTTGTTTCTGGGAATCAGAAGTTTCCAGAACTATATTGAAGAGGAGTGGTGATAGTGAGCATCCTTCTGTTATTCCTGATTTTAATGTGAAGCTCTTCAGTTTTTGGCCACTTAATATGATGTTGCCTGTTGGTTTTTCATAGATAGCCTTTATTAAGTTGAGATATAGACCACCTATTCCACTTTTTTGCAGGGTTTTATCATGAATGGATGTTGAATTTTGTCAAATGCTTTTTCTGCATCTTTTGAAAGGATCATATGGTTTTTGTCCTTGACAATGTTAATATAATATATTACATTTATTGACTTACGTATGTTGAACCATCCTTGCATCCCTGGAATAAATCCGACTTGGTAAGGATGTATGATCTTCTTGATGATCCTCTGTATTCTATTTGCTAGTATCTTATTAAGGATTTCTGCATCTATATTCATTAAAGAGATTGGCCTGTAGTTCTTTTTTAGTTGCATCTTTCTCTGATTTGGGAATCAAACTGATACTTGCTTCCAGGAATGAATTTGGAAGTATAGCTTCCCTTTCAATTTCATTGAAAAGTTTGAAGAGTAATGGCAGTAGTAATTCTCTAAATGTCTTGTAAAATTCAGCAGTGAATCCATCAGGACCTGGGCTTTTCTTTGTTGGTAAAATTTTAATTACATTTTCAATTTCACTGATTGTAATTGTGGTGTTTAAAATGTTTTTATCTTCTTTTTTCAACTTTGGTAATTCATAAATATCCAGAAATCCATCCATTTATTCTGTGTTTTCCATTTTATTTGAGTACAGGTTCTCAAAGTAGGTGTTAACAAGCCTCTGGATTTTTGTTGGATCTGTTGTGATTTTACCTTTTTCATTCCCCCAAATATAAGGACCTGATTCAAAAATGGGCATCTGAAATGAACATACATTTCTCAGACAAAGAAGTAAAACCAGCAAGTAAATATATGAAAAAATGTTTCACATCCCTGGTCATTCAAGAGATGCAGATGAAAACAACACTGAGATTCCACCTCACCCCACAAAAAATGGCTGCTATGAAGAAATTACACAATAACAAGTGTTAGTGGGGTTGTGGGGAGAAAGGAACACTTCTCCATTGTTGGTGGGGATGCAGACTGGTGCAATCACTATGGAAATCAATATGGAGATACCTCAAAGAGCTGGGACTAGAGGTTCCATTTGACCCAGCCATCCCTCTGCTGGGTATCTTTCCAAAAGAATTACAGGAATCCTATCACAGTGATATATGCACACCTATATTTATAGCTGCACAGTTTGTAATAACTAAAACTTGGAAACAGCCCATTTGCCCATCTATTGGAAACTGGATAAAGAAGATGTGTTTTTTCTATAAAATGGAATACTACTCAGCCATAAAGAATGAGAAATTAGATTCATTCATAGGAAAATGGATACATATTGAGGATATACTCCTAAGTGAAATAAATAAGTCACACATGTGTACATACTGAATGGTTTTTTTGGTGTGAACAAACTATAATCATACATAAGATAATAATGATATAATTGACAATATGAAATAGGAAGAAAAGAGCTAAAAGTGTAGGGAAAGTGGGACAGGTAGGGGAAAGGAAATAAGGGAAAAGAAAAAAATATGAGAAAATAAAAAATGGAAATAAAGTGTTTGTAAATGGGGAGGGGAGGAGGGCGTGAAGGCATTGCAAGGGCAAGGGGAAAAAATGAAAACCAAGACCTGTCGTGTAAGGGTACAAGATCCCAATAATGAATGTAACTGTACTGTATGCCTAAAATGTACCAAAAAACTCAATGAGAAAAAAATGATATAAATAAAAGGCTGACCTAATATATATCATTTTAGAGTTTACTGTTTTTGCCATAATGTTGCAAAGCGAATGAAGACACAGTTTTACAATAATTTTGTAGAGCTATCAGTACACATCTAAATAAGCTTCATGGGTAAAAAGAAAAAAATTGGGGAAAATTAGTATTTGTAAGCAAAATGTGAACAAGTTATAAATCCCTTCATTTTCTTAGGTGGATTTTCTGTTTTCTATTTTTTTCTAATGAATATGCCTTACTTCTAGTATCATATCATACTTCTAAGTATAAAATGTTTTCTGATGAAAATTGTCCTTGAAAGTCTTTCATTAAGTAAAAACGTCTCTGGAAAAGTGTTCTCCATCACCCTAATCAAAAGCATTCCTAACTAATCATTTGAATGTAAACATTACTTTTTGCAAGTTAATGTTACTGTGGGTATCATAAGTAAAACGAGGTTCCGCCTCATTTTAGAGTACATCAATACAACATGAAGAGATTTTGGCTTTCACCGTGTGTCTCCTGATGGAATAGGCAAAGTCTTTTGTGTACTTAGTCCTTGAATTTTAGTCCTTGGAATCAGGCCAAGTAATGGTTCCTAGGAAACCGCGCCCCGAGGATGACCACAGGATCCAGGGTTCTGAGCGCCCATTAAATGAGGCGCCCTGAGAGCAGCAGGTGGGAGGGAAGGTGCACGCTCTTCCCTGGATATTCGCTGTTTCTTCCTCCGTTCCTCTCAGACACAACTTCCTGGTGAAGTCTCCATGTGACCAGGCCCTGAAAAAAAATTTCTACTGTAATATAATTTATCTCATTAAGAAACAAATGTACTATAACATAACAATTATTTATATCAAGAAATACAAACATATCTCAGAAATTTTTACTTTCTTTATGGTTTTCATATTTTATTTTTCCTAGTAAATTGAGGTTGACCAGTTTCTACTCAGATAATCTTGGAAGAGGTTTTATTTTTCAGCAATTTGGTGTCACAGTAAGTATAATTGTTCACATTAGAGTGGATTATTTCCTACAAATATGGGTATTTCATTAGAAAAACGCAAATTCACACATTATTTAGGCCATAGTATGAGTCATGGTAAGATCTATGAAGCAAGAATACAGAATTCGTGGATTCAAACTCTGCAACAATGTAGATATTTTGAAGAAATGTCATTTTGAACAGTCAAGTTAGGAAAAGGTGTCAGCAGACAGACTATACTGCTCTCACTCCCACACCGAACACTCACAAAAGTGGAAGAAGATTTGTTTGGCTACAAAGAAAAGTGGTTAAGAATAATTAGCTCCAAAGTAAATATAGGAGGCTGTTAATGCTCAAATATCTCCCTCCCTGTGCCAGGGATCCCAGGGATTTTATATCCCCGTCACTCCCAGCTCCCTTCCTCTCTTGTCCAAATTAATCCAGACCTGACTTCCTGATGTCTCTATCTGCACATGATTTTCAAAGGGATCTGATGATTTTCTGACAGCATCACTTCTCTGTCTGCTCTTCTGAGCTGAGGTTGGAAGTGGTGGATATTTGACCTCAGAGTGGGAGAAATTTGGAGAAGCTGCCTATTATTTCAAATTCCAGCACTTAAAATTCATTTTGGCCTTAAACCAATAATATCACAGGCTAAGTATTAACTGTAATTGTTTGCCAGTTAATGGCAAAGGAACACCATGGGTAGAAGGAACTGCACCACTGTTCCTGACTTCATCCTCATGGGGCTGACGGACTCTGCAGAGACACAGCTGGTCCTCTCCGTGCTCTTCCTCCTGATTTACCTGATCACGGTGCTGGGGAACGCGGGGATGATATTGATCATTTGCCTGGATCCCCAGCTGCACACCCCCATGTACTTTTTTCTCTCTCAACTGTCATTTCTCGACCTCAGCTACTCAAGTGTCATCACCCCTAAAACCTTACAGAACCTACTGACTTCCACCAAGAGCATCTCCTTCTTGGGCTGCTTCACCCAGATGTTCTTTTTTATAGTCTTTGGTGCAGCTGAATGTTTGCTTCTCTCCTCCATGGCCTATGACCGCTATGTAGCGATTTGCAACCCTCTTTGCTACCCAATTATTATGTCCACAAGACTGTGTCGTGCCCTGCTCACTGGTGCCTATGTTACTGCCTTTTTGAGTTCCACACTGAATGCTATTTACGTGAGCAGATTGGACTTCTGCAAGTCCAATGTCATCCAGCACTTCTTCTGTGACACATCCCCTATTTTAGCCCTGTCCTGCAGTGACACACTGGTGGTTGAAATCATTATATTCATTTGTGGTGGATCCAATTTACTGCTGTCCCTTATCACCATATCTGGATCCTATCTGTCCATCCTCTCCACTATCCTGAAAATTAATTCCACTGTTGGAAAGAAAAAAGCCTTCTCCACCTGTGCCTCCCATCTCCTGGGTGTCACCATTTTTTATGGCACTCTAATCTTTACTCATTTAAAACCAAAGACGTCCTACTCCTTGGGAAGGGATCAAGTGGCTTCTGTATTTTACACGATTGTGATCCCCATGCTGAACCCTCTCATCTACAGTCTCAGAAACAAAGAAGTAATCAATGCTGTTGGTAGAATCATGCAGAATACAGAGGGATTAAAATATCAATGATGCTAAATATTTATACTTGTCTTTTCTCTTTTTCCTTTTGAGAAATCTTTTGTATCTCTCTTAAAGCAATTTAATCTCTCACTCAATTTGTTAAAAGTTGTGTTTTACTTTACATGTCCTTTGAGATTTTAAGGAGCATTATTTTAGAAATTCACTCTAAGTGGAAATAATGAAATGTTTGTAAATTTCTGTGAAGAGTAAGTAATGTGCAAAATAAGAAAACTTGCTTGTCATTTAAAAAGCTTTCTAATATCATTTTAATATCATACAATGTCCATGCTTTCTCTATCTTTAGAGAATTTTGTAATAAAACAGGGTTCTACTTTTCCCTGAACTCATTTGGTTGATAGTAAAATGAATAAGGACAGATTAGTTAGCAGCAAATGCTTTCAAAACAAATACTCTAACATTCAGATCCTGGGTCTGCCAACTTTTCAGTTTATAACTCTCATTAATTTACTGAAATCTTGTGGCCCAGTCCATCCACCTGCACAAGATCCATTACAATTCCTCATCCACCTCATCGGAAGATGTAAAACTTTGAGGGCAATAATAGGAATGTTGGTTCTTCTCTTCAAAAGACTGGGATTCCTACCATATTTTAGTGCATACTAATTTTTTAAAGAATATTGATTCATGTTTTACAAATTTCTCTTGGTTAATTTAACTGACCAGTATACAAAGAGCTAGTAGAAAAAACAGAAGCGGTTTGTTCTCAATTTTCTGTTTAGAATAAAACAAAATGTTGAAATAGAATTGAAAGAAAATGGTAGGTGTTACTGTTGTAGACCATGATAATGATAACTATTAAAGCAAAGAGAAGATCCATAGCATATTCCTCTAGACAACTGGTTATTAACATACATTATTTAATATGAGCTCTGAGATTGCCTGTGTGATCTTTGCTTTCTGTGTTCATTTTAAAGTTTATTATCAAATTTTTTGGTAGTTGAAATCAATGAGATGAATGTATTTTCAGTATATGAGCAAAATTAATATTTTCATTGTGCAATGTTTTGAATCTAAAACATTGTAAACTCACCAAGGTAAAAATCTACACGTGGTAATATCTTTTAGCTGCATATTTATTTGCTAACCATGCTAAAACCGGAACTTTTTGCGACATGCACAGAACATTCAGTCTCCTCTTTCTTTGCCTTTCGCCAGATGTCTTTAGATTTGTAACGCTGCGTGGAAATAAATTACCTAACTCACTGTGAGCATCATTTACATTACATTTTAATGGCAATAATTTGGCAAAGAAAGGATTGAGCATGAATTTTGCACATGTAGCATTGAATAAGCGTAGGTCAATAGAAAAATAGAATCTTATTTGTAATATTTTATCTAGGTTTCTATAAGAGAATATTTACATTTGTCTTCCGTATTTCAGATTATTTCATGTAATATAGTTTCATTTTCTAAATAAATATTTTATTTCAACTTATGAACCTTTTGCTATACTATTTTAATCCAAGAATGTGATTGTTTACATTATTTATTTTTTGAAAATTTTTACTTTTTGTAAAATATTGTGTTTATTTTTATTGTGTAAAGTGCAACATCTGTATTTTTAAAATAGCAAGGAAGTTATTGATGCATTACTAATCCAAATGACTAATTAGTAAATATCATATAACTGTGCAGCTTAATATTCAAATTTGTGAATCTATCACAAACTGATACCTTGTCCTAAATCAATATTACCTAATATTATTTTTTTCCTTTGATAGCTGTGCTCTTTAGAATCCATTTTACAACTATTCCTGGTTGTTTTTCTTTGCAGTTCAAATCAAAATTTTAATAAGTGCTTGTTCAACAATACGTCTTTTGGGCTCATCTCTGATCACACGTGTCTTTGTTATTTCCTGTATTTGTGGCTTCCTCCCACTTTCCCATTGTTGTTATTAGATGTGATTTTATATTATTCTAATTTGTACCATGGCTATGATATAGGCAGATTATGCTGGAGTTTTTTTGGCAAAGCACTCAATTCCTATTAGGAGTTATAAATGATATTTACGTTGAACAAATTATTGTTTTTATTAAATTGAAACTAACAAATATTCTTTAAAATATATCTGTAAAGCATTTATATTATATAACTAAATAAGGATAATATAATTCAATGTCAATCAGAAAAAAACATTTAAATATCTTACAATTGCCCAGCTATTTTATTAGGCCACTGCATAGCTCAGGAAATAGAAGTTGTTTTTCTGAAATAATTTATCATCCTCTGTTACTTGGTGCCAGGTCAGGATGTTATACAACATAAATGTAACTTTCAAAGAACGTAATACTGGACAGTAAAATATGAGTAGCTGTTCTTAATCCTACACAGTTCATGTTCATGTAAAGATAACAGTAATATTAGGTCGTGCTAAACACTGACCATGTTTCAGAAGTAATTGACCTCGAATTCACAAATTTTATCCTCACAGAGTAACTCTCATCTAAGCACTTGTGCTATACAGTTTTAGTGGCACATAATAGAAAATCAGCCTTTCTTCGTTCAAGCAAAGGCTTGATAAGTTTTTTTTTTTCTGGAATTTTCTTTTATCTAACCGAGTTCATAGCCTTTTCATCAGAATAATATGATTCTTACATAGGACATATTAGGAGTCTACTTCAACACTTTCTCTGTCACTGTCCTGGAATGAGGAACAATCATTGCCTTTATAAAGTTCTTGCAGCAGCACCTTAGCTTCTCTGGCTTTGCTTAGTCAATCAGAAAACACACTGAAAAAGAGTCTAAGGCGAATAAAGATAATTTAAGAGCAGTCTCATCTCTACAACTGGACAGTGATCCTGTTTCACTGTAGCGTCTCATTTTCACAAACCCTACAGGACTTTTCATCCCATGAGACAGACACGTCTAACCCTTTCTAAGGACCCAGGGCTAAGAAATGATCCTGTTCCCTCTCCTTACACCTCTATCTTGCACACAGCACTCTCACTCTCTTAGTTTCCCCCACGCGATCTCCTAAGTCTTCCATGGAAACCTAGTCCCCAAATGACCCAGGACACTTTCCAAGGTCCATCTTCAAACCTTCTGCTCTCAAATTTCAGTGATTAAAAGCCGTTCTACCCCTCAACACCTTATTATAACTGTACTGTCCTCATCCCTCTCTGAGCTTTGTTCCATAGCAGTTTTCCCCATCTGTCATCCTGTCTCCTTTGCTCTCTCCTTCTGTCGTGTACCTGTTACTCCTTGTGATCACCTGAGGCTCTGGGCCCCAGCTATTTCCGCAGCACTTAGCGCAGGGTCTCGTAAGTGGACTTGGAGGCTGAGGTTACAGAGGATCCCACTGAGTGGAGCACAGAAACGTTCAATTACTCGCTTGCGGTCTCTCTGCTGCTTCTGTTCCACGCTCACTGAACTTAGAGCAGAATGCTGATCATTATCCTGTTCTATGACGTTATTTACTCATAATAATATGCTTTAAAATCAGGGTGAGTTCCTTAATGCATTAACAAGAACAATAGATAGAGGTCATTGAAAAGGGTACATTGCTGTGAAATGTTTTGTGGAATTTCTGGCATTAGTAGTTTATTTCTTCAAAGTACACAGGTATGAACTTATTACAGAGAAATTATTGTAAGGTAGAGATTGAATATGTGACAGCCGATGATGGAAAGGTTAATTGTGTTAGCTGGAAGTCAGGCTTTCCCAAAATAACAGCAGGACTTGGAAAGACTGGCTCAATGTAGAAAAATGAGCCTGGACATAATGTGATATAAATTATTTATTCATCTTGCTCTATGTATAATTTTGGGATGGCGATATTTGGTAAGGTCATTCTAGGGCCCAGGTCCTCCTCTGCTTTTGCTCTATTTCTTTGTAACTGCTATCCTCTGACCCATGGTTAATCAGTTAAATCATTACCGGTCCACTATTTATACATAAGGAATGGGTGAGAATCATTTTACAGAGGAAATATTATTTCAATTTTCATTCAGATGGCTTTCATACAACAATGTATTTATTAAGATAGATCTAGGTCTATTCAGATTACCTGTTTCTACTAATGTACCTTCAAAGAGTTCTACTTTCTAATTACCAAATGTATTAGCAAAATTTGTTTACAATGTTTTACTTGCCTTTTGGACATTATTTTTTCTATCCTGACACTTTTATTTCATTCGTGATATAACAATATTTGTTTTTCTCTTGAATTGCTAACCTTTGATCATAGAATTCCATAGTGTACTAATTTCTAGTTAAAATTGTATTTAAGACAACCTTTAAAGCAAGACACTTTCTTGTAAAACAAAGACTGCCTTTGCTGGAAACGTGCTCATGATTTTTTTTTTTTTTTTTTTTTTTTTTTTTTTTTTGGCTAATGAGAGCTCAAAAAGTATTGTCTATGTGTTCAGGACTCATGTTCACGAGTGAGGTGGGTAGAATGTTGGATTCCAAAGAGAGAGCTGGAAGCACTAGGGGAAGTTAGCACTGGGGAGCTGCAGAGAGCAGCAGGCAACAAAGCTGAGCAGCAGAGACCAGCACCCAGCAGAGCTCTAAGACTGTGCGTGGCACAAACTAGCTCTGGAGGGCAGCGACTGGCAGCTGCAGAGACCAGCCCTTGATCGGGTCCCTGAACCTTGTCCAACAGAAGCTGACACCACAGGTGGAAAGCGGCAGCTGAGTCCAGCACCCAGCGTGGATGACCGATGGTCAGCACAAGCCTGCAGTGGATGGAGGTGGCCAACAGCAGCCCTGCCCAGCAGCCCCTGGGTCACGTGTGTCAGCCAGCACCATCTGAGGTCATGGAGTCCCAGCAGGGCTGCAAGCAGAGCGACACTGTGCCAGTTCAGAATTTCCATCTCAATGGGACCCAAAGACCCCTAGTTTCATTGACAACACGACCAGTCCCCCTCCCAGCACCACTAAGGACCAGGACTCGCTCTCCGTGGGCCTCCTTGATAGGAATCGAACTCTGCACGCTCGCATCTGCACACGGCTTCCCTGCTCGGTCTCCACCTGCAACGGATTCCTCCCCAGTTCCTGAGGGCTCCTCCTTCGCGTGTTTGCTTCGCAGACACATTTTTGCTGAAGTGGAGCTCGACCACGTGATTTCTCATTGCTGCCCCCTCGTCCTCCTGCAACTACTGCACCTCCATTGATTGTGCTCTTTCCCAAGCTATTACCTGCCTTAATGTATAGTGGGAATAATCCAGGAGAGAGTGTAGGAAGGGAAACGTCAAAAGGTAAAAAAAACGTCAAAAATTTAAAATGTGATGACCCTTTCCCATTTGTAAAAGACCTATATCCATATTTGCTGCTGAAAAAATAAATACTGAAAAGAAATCTGATGACTACGTAGTTAAAACATATCGTGGTTTAAACTGGAAGGGATGATACTTCACTCTCCTCACCTTGCTTGCTATAGAGAGACAGTTGTCACAAGCATTGCTCTGCCATCATAAATAGCTCCACATGTGGACCAAATGTGTTTCACGGATATAAAATCTTGCTAAGAAAACTGATCTTGCTGCAATCTGCAATCACAAGCCTACTGAGGAGGTGATATAGATAGAAATTCACCCTCAGACTTTCATTTGGATTAAACCCCAACAGTATGTGGTAGGCATGTTGGGTGATACTGGCTTCTAAATTTCCACAGCTGTGTGTTTCAGGAGAATTTAAAATACTGATCAATAGTGTTCTATCTAAACAAGTCCATGGGCCATATAATTCTTCACGGAAATACTCCTTTATCCACCACCACATAATTCCAGCCCTGAGCCCATTTTCTTAGGAGATTGTGATTTATATTTGTTTATAAATTTTTTAAAAATTCACAATAATATTTCGCAGATTCAAACTTTGTCTTATTATTTTCACTCTTTGCTTCCTCCTTTAAGATAAATAATGCTGAATGAAACATTTCAGCTTGACTATTATGTCTTCATTTCTATTATTTGTTTTAAGACATTGAATGAGATTACATAAAAAGTGTTTGTCTACTGAATTCATTGAAAAAAAATTTTTACTCAGGGTCAATTGTGTCTTTCTGTTCAGTTTCCTTTTACAAAACAAAAACAAAATTAAACACACTGAGACAGGAACCTGCACTACACAGCACGGACTATGGAGATGGAGCAGGTGACAGACAAACCGGGATGGAGCTTCTGCCCCACTGTGGTGACGCCTTAAGATGTCCAGGTAACAGCTGGAAACGCTCAGTTTGCCTGGTGAGGGATGGGACACCACAGAATATGTAACTCAGGAAAGCCCGGGGTCATAAAATGTCAGCCTGCCAGAGTCCTGGGCCATTCTGATGTCTCAGCAGTTTAGCTAGGATGACATCGAACACACAGAATTATAGTAATTAGGTAAAGCTAGAATTATGCTTCCCAATAAGCTACAGAGGCACAAAGGAAACACTTTGGAGAAAATCTTTTATAAGCAAAATATTAAAGAGTATTAAATTGTTTCATGATCTTCTTTTAATTTTGTTGTTTTCTATTTTTTAATTAACTATGACTTATTTCTATGGTTAAGTCATACTTTTAAGTATAAAATATTTCCTGGAGAAATTTTTATATTCCATCCCTTATATTGTTAATCACGAATATCTCTCTGGAAGTAACTTCTCCAGCAACTTAGTCAAAAATTCCTGACTGATCGTTTCAATAAAAATGTTACTCTCTGCAAATGTATACATTATTTGTTACTTTGAAAATGCAAAAAAATGAATTTCAACAAAGTTTCAATGAATATTAAAAAAGGTGAATTGCTTATGGGTCCTCCAAGGGGAGAAAAAAATCTTTTGTGAATTTAGACCTGAACCTTTGACATTGAAATCAGGCCAAGCCACCTTCCCTGGAAATGAGGCCCCGAGGATGACCAATGTCACGTTTCTCTCAGTGCCCATTACCTGAGCACCTGGAGTTATTAACGGGGAGGGAAGGCGCCCACGGTCCTGTTCACATACACGGTTCAGCCCTCAGTTCCTTTCAGGATAAAACCTCCTCCTACAGTTTCATTTCATCAAGAGCTAAACTGAATATAATTTATCTCAAAATAGAAAAATGAATTCACAGAAGCATAAAAATAAATTACATCAAGAAAGATATCTATTAGAAATTTTCAGCTGCTTGTTTGGTTTTAGTATTTTATTTCTGAGAATAATTTGAGCTTGACAAGATTCTACAAAGATAACACTGCAAAAAACTGTTTTCAGAAACTTCGTCTCGCAGTAAGTACCATTTTTCAAGTTAGAAGGGAGCAGGTTATGCAAAATGCAATGGAAATTTTGCCAGAAAGTTGATATACGTGTGTGATTTAGGCCTTACCTTGAGTAATGTTAAGATTTGTGAATCGAAACATAGAGTGGGTAGAATCAAAGTCTTAAGCACATGTACATAAATTGAAAACGTATTTTAAAAATAAATTTGATTTTGTCTGATCAAGGTGGGAGAAGACACCGTTAGCAGAGATGAAGTCCATACTATCCGTGGTCCCCACAAAAAGTGGCAGAAAGTTTCTTCTCATGGAAAGACAAGGGTTTATTCACAGCTACTGGGAAGGAGATGGGGTGGGCATCTTAGTCTCTGATCTGGATCTTCCTGTGCTCAGGAGCACAGGGGCTGTGACACCCGGATTCCTCCCCATCCCTCCCTCCCGTGTCCAGATTACAGCGGACCTGACCCAGGGCAGCGCTGCCTGCTCTGCTCAAAGGCAGGAGGTGACTTCTGCAGAGCAGGACCTCGGTGTGACTGCTCTGAGAGGAGACAGCGGGAGGATGCTGGAGACGCAGCCCACGCCTAAGACATCCTAATGTTTAAAATTCATTTCAAATTAATTGTCAGTGTTGCTATTTTAAACACTATTAATATCTAGGTGTAATCTTAACATGACTCACTTTGGTCCAAGTAGTAAATTTATTTTGTAATTTCTAGCAAATACTTTTGAAAAATAAGGTACGGTCACACATTTTAACTGTTTTAACATTTTTATTGCATATGCTTTTTCAGGTGTGCTAAAAGAAACTTACAAGCACAGAGAAAGTTTTCTAATGCAGTCACAGTCTTCTTTGTAATCAATATACCTCAGGGGCATCACACTGTTAACAAGAAATTGATCACATTTCAGATGTCACTGTCTGTGCCCTTGGTAAGATATAAATTATACAGATTCCCACTAGTGGCTAAGTAGAATGTCCTCATATGGATTGAATGTGATATCTAATGAATGCATTCACAATTATACCAGGTGTATCTTTGTTACCTAGGCTGTAACATTTCAAAATGTTAACATTATATGTTAATTGATAACTATATCTATACAGGAAAATTACACGTTTTTGCTTCTACCCAGTAAAGTTAATATAATTTCTAGGAACTCTTTACTGTATTAGTGAAATGTATTGTCATTCAAGTACTAAAACTTGTGGTCAGCCAGGCTAAATATACAAAATAATTATTCCTCAGATAAGTGCACCAGGACACCATGGGTAGAAGGAACTCCACCAATGTGGCTGACTTCATCCTCATGGGGCTGACGGACTCTGCAGAGACACAGCTGGTCCTCTCCGTGCTCTTCCTCCTGATTTACCTGATCACGGTGCTGGGGAACTCAGGGATGATATTGATCATTCGCCTGGATAACCAACTGCACACCTCCATGTACTTTTTTCTCACTCACCTGTCATTTCTCGACCTCAGCTACTCAAGTGTCATCACCCCTAAAACCTTACAGAACTTACTGACTTCCACCAAGAGCATCTCCTTCCTGGGCTGTTTCAACCAAATGTTCTTTTTTCTATTCTTTGGAGGCACTGAATGTTTGGTTCTCTCCTCCATGGCCTATGATCGCTATGTAGCTATCTGCCACCCCCTGCACTATCCAGTCATTATGTCCACAAAGCTGTGCTGGTCCTTGCTCAATGGCTCCTATGTTATTGGCTTTGTGGATTCCATTGTCAATGTGCTTTGTATAAGCAGATTAGATTTCTGCAAGTCTAACATCCTCCAGCACTTCTTCTGTGACACATCCCCCATTTTAGCCCTGTCCTGCGGTGACACTTCTGAAGTTGAAATCTTTATATTCATTACTGGTGGATCCACCCTAGTGCTGTCCCTCATCACCATATCTGGATCCTATCTGTCCATCCTCTCCACTATCCTAAAATGTAATTCTGCTGCAGGAAAGAGAAAAGCCTTCTCCACCTGTGCCTCTCACCTCCTGGGAGTCACCATCTTCTACAGCACTTCGATCTTTACTTACTTAAAACCAAAGACGTCCTACTCCTTGGGCAGGGATCAGGTGGCTTCTGTGTTTTACACGATTGTGGTCCCCATGCTGAACCCCCTCATCTACAGTCTCAGAAACAAAGAGGTGAAAAATGCTGTTGTTAGAATCCTGCAGAAGAGAGAGGGCTGCAGGCAGTTAAAATATTAGTGATCCTCAACATTTACACTTTCCCTCTTTCATTTTATGGAAACTCTTTGGTCACTTTTTGTAAACAAGTATCTGATTTTGTGAAGTTGTATGTGTGTGTGTGCACATATGTGTATTTCCTATATTTCACTGGACAATTTTATAGTTTCCATCTACATAGTGAAAATTCTGGTCTATTCTTGCATGTGCTTTCCTGTCTTCACTCTATGTGTTATTCAAGCTATTGTGAAGATCGCTAAGTTAATCTATCAGGAGTGCCTGCATTTCATCAATGTTTTTATTATTCAAGCTCATATAGGCTTGACAGTGACCTGCTAAGAAACCTTCAATGTTAAATGTGAGCTCTTTCATTTCTGCATCCTCTGCCCTTCCCATCTGCACAGGACTGGTGCTGAGCGTCTCTTAATGTGGAGCTGAACTCGTTACACGCTGGTCAAGGTTGTTACTTTCTCCATCTTTTGCTCAGAGTGAGACATTTCATGTGTTCCACACGGTCCTCTGTGTCTCATCTTGGAATGGGTGTTTTCTGATGAATGTGAACGCAGACCTGGGGAAGGCTCGCACACAAAACATGTGTGATTTTCTCGATTAACAGGGTGTTTTAAAATAGGTAAGTGGAAGGTTCATTGTAGCGTTTTACATTCTATGAGGAAAATCCTAACCACGGCCATGTCCTCAGTGCTCTTTCTTATGGACACCTTCAAATGTAACAGTTCAGTAGCCTGTGCTGTATTTTTAAAGGACGCCTCACCATCAGTGCGGTTCGAACAGAGCCCTGCAGAGCTGCTCTGAGGCAGTGACATTGTCTCTTTCCTTAGGACTTCCGTAGTGTTTGCTTTCCTGTATGGTTTCTTTTTATGAATTTGTCTTATGAGGAACTCAAGCCCCAAATCTCTTATCACATGTCTAAAGGAAGGGAATCAATCCCAGATCCAGCAGAGATCATTTCCTCAAAGCCTTAGTGTGTTCTTCTTTCTGTCCTCTTTCTACACTTCACTTACTGCAGGTCACTAATACTTTATAGTTTTTTTTGAAATTGAATAATGAAATTGTTCATTGCAAAACATCCAGTAACTCCTTCATTTTTGAATACATATCAAGCTTAGAAGTATGACCTCTGTACCCTCACAATTTAGGATGACATTCAGACATCACCGAGAAGAGCTATGTATCACTGAGTAAATTACCTGTACTTAAAATGTAGGACACTGCTCTCCTTTGTGATGAAATAAAATAATACACTTTTGTGCAGCTGTTACCACAGAAATCTCATGAATTCATACATATAAAATATTAACATGCTTGCCCGCTACATAAGAAACCTTATGTCGCTGTGCATTGTTACTCTTGTAATGGGACAGTGTTTCCTCAACAATTCTAAAATATCTGGCACTGAAAACAAAGCTGCTCGAGAGAGTTCAAGTAGAGGGAGCATGAAAATTTATTTTGAAAAGTGGTGGATGTCAGGGGCTAAAAACGCCAGAGCAAAGGCAGGCAGAACACAATAGCTGTTCTAGAGGATTTAAAATGTATTTTATTCCGACAGGCATGCGACACACATGATCACTCCATGTGGTGATTGGTGCGTGTACACATTGCCCTTGACCGTCCCCCTGCCCCTCTCAGGCCTCTCCTGTGTTCTATTCCTGAACTTCCCCTCCCTTCAGAACCCCCGTCCTAGTCCCTGCCCTATTTCATTCTCTTATTGAATGGTTCACACACGGTGTCGCTCACACGACAGACACCACGCATTCCAGGGCAGATGTGCCCTCCTCCAAATGCAGAACTGCTTGAGCAGGTACAGGAACCATACGAAGTCCCCGCATGGCAGCTTGGGTGAGCTGGCTGCAGGGAAGGCCCAGAGCTACTGGCGCTGAGAAGGACGCGCACAGCAGCAGAAGGAATCCATGCAGGCAATGAGGGAAGGTTTGCTGGGGTGGGGAGGGGAGTTCCCTGCCCCATCTCCGGGAGAGACACATCTGCGCGTTCCGGGAGCGCTGGCTTTGTGACAGGACTGAGAACCGTCCTGAGGAGAACGAGTCTGGAGCTCAGTGCCATGAGCTGTAGCAGCAGGGACACTGCGGGGATTTCTCTCTGGATTGGGACAGCGTGAGCTCAGGGGCCATCTCAGAAATCCCCTCTGCCTCTGCCTCAGGAGAACAGGGAGGAGCAGGACTTAGGCAGTGCCCGGGATGAGAGCCGTGTCCAGTATCTCTAATGTGGTAGGCAGAGGAGAGGAGAAAGCCCCCCACATGCATTGTATACGTAGGACCCTGAAACCATTTCAAACTAGGGAGACGGTGCCCCCTCAGTACTGAGGTTGTGTATGAGAGACCAGTGAGTGTGACACAGGCTGAGCAACCTCACGGGATTGAGGGCAGTGAGCTGATATCTGTCTTGCTGGAGAGGAAGAGCCAGGCTGTGGGATCCCAGTGAGAAATCCAGCCCGTTTTTCACACATTCACGCGGGTGGAGTGAAACGCCGACACAGAGAAGGGCAGGAAGCAAATGCTGAAGTCGGTGTGAACACTGAGCAGGGAACAGCCTGGCCGGGGAGGTCTCAGAGGGGTCGGGCGTCTGAGTCGGCAGCACAGCTGGGCAGGTGGGGCTCCCGGGGCTTCTGTTCCCCTCAGAGCTGCAGCACCCAGGCCTCTCCTCCCTTCTTGGACGCATCCGCAGTCCTCTCCCTGCCACTTACTTCCAAGACGGCCTGGGAGAGCAGAGAGCGTGGGCCCATGGTCTGGTTCTTCCCACTGACAGCACAGCTGAGAGATTTGCCAGGCATCCTCACTGCCAGGTCCAGAGGAGTCTCAGGTTTCAAGTCGCGTCCATTGTCACCATCACAGAACATGGCTGAGACTTCCCATATGCCGTGGGGCAGAAATGGACAGAGGCAGAGAGGACCTTGAGTCTTCACAAAAACAAAGAGATTTTTCCATTCTTCCTTTTATTAGGCAGAGTCCAAGAAGAGCAGCCCAGGTAAGGTGGTCTCTAGTACATACCTCCATGAGAAGAATGTGTGTGTGCTTGTGTGTGTGTGTGTAATTGTGTAACAGTACAAGATATCGCTTTGGCTCTTCTCCAGCATAACCTTGCTTTTTCTTTCCATGTTCTCCTGAAGCACAGGTTGTTACCTTAATTTTCTAATATTATAAAAGACACACATGTGTGCTAATACTTTGAAGTCAATTTCCTTATCTTTTCTCTCCCTTTACATTTATATTCCCTCCCTTTTTTGTTTTTCCCTCGTTCTTTTACCTCTCAGATCTCGTCTGCCTCTCTTTTTCTTTCTATGTGTAAATATTCTCAAAAGCATATTTTTGAGGAGCCTATCCTAAAGTCTTTTTGTCCTCTCTGATTCAAGTTTAATGAAACTGGAGATATTTTCAAAATAATTAAATTATTTCAACTCATCTGCAAGTAAATATTTCCTAAGTTTGAGAAATAGCATAGACAGCCCAATAGTATAGGACATAGTCACAAAGAGAGGAAAGACCCCTATAATTTATCTTAGTCAAGTTGTCAAAAGCTCACAATGAAGTATATTAAAAGTAGAAAGAAGTGCTAAAGCACTTACAGTGGCTAACCAGCCGCAATAAAAATGGATTTCTCAACAGAACCTTCAGAAGCCAGGAAGACTTGGAATAATGTGTTTCAACCGCTGGAAGAAAATATTTACCCACCTGTGTTATTGTATTCTAAAAGACTGTCCTTCAAATTTGATGGAAAAGAAAGGCTTTCTAAGAAAATATAACACAATGATTTTTTTTAATTTAGAACTCTGGTTTTGGGGCTTGTTTATGTGTCTTCTCATTTCAAAAGATGCAGCCTGCTGTGCATTCATTGAGACAGGTTTTTGCTCACTCCATGGTCTTCAATTCTCAGCAAGCCACCGAGTGGCCTTATCTCTGCTGCTCAGCAGTCCAGGGATTCCTGGGTAAAAACCACAGAGTCTAGATGGCTCCTCGGACAGAAGGTTGTGAGCCTGTGCAGCTCTGTCCTGGGCAGGCATTGGCTGGGCGTGTTCAGGTGAGCCTGTGGGGTCTACGGGGATCCCTGGCTGTGATCTGCCTGAAGCTGGGCAGGTCTGGACCACACTCTGCTCCTGGGATCTGCGCACTCACGGGTGCTCTGTGGCAGGCTCTGACTCTAAGTTATGTCTTTTTTGAAAATTTTGTTTTTTGTAACTTTTTACTTGTTTATATTCATTATCCAAAGCGCATCATCTCTATTTTAAAAATAAGGAAGTTATTCATGTATTACTAATTCAAAGAAGCAGTTTGTAAATATCATGTTTATATGTAGTATATTATTCAAATGTCTGAATCCATCAAATAGGTTATAACTTCCACTAAATCAATCTTTCGTCAAATTATCATTTTTTTCTTTGATATCTATCCTTTGTAGAGTCAATTTTGTAGGTATTTGTGGTTATTTTTTTGCAATTTGAATTTTCCACCTCGAATCAATTATTAATGAAATTAATAAGCATGTACCTTCCAACACGTTTGGGCTCATCCCTTATCACACACCTATCTGTTCTTTTCTATACTTAGATCCCACTTTCCTGTCGTTTTCATAAGATGTAATTTTATGTTGCTGTAATCTGTGCATCGCTATGATTTAGGCCCGTTCAGCTGGTTTTTATGGCAAAGCACTCGATGGACATTGTGACTTTTTAAATGAAATTTACCTTGAACTGATTCTTACATTTCTATTAAATTGAGACCAACAATTTTTTTTAAATGTATGCTCGGAAGGATTTATAATATTAGCTAGAGAGCATATAATTCCATGTCAATCAGAAAGAAATATTTAATACCTTCCAGTGGCCCAATTATTTTATTAGACCACTGCATAGCTCATGTAATAAAAGTGATTTCTCAAATAATTTCTTATCATCTGTTACATAGTGCCAGGTCGGATTTTCATACAACATAAATATAGTTTCTAAAGGATCATAGTGCAGCAGGGCAAAATATGAACAGCTGTTCTTACTT